ATTTTTTAATGATAGTACAAAAATAATTTATTTAAATTATTTGTAAATATTAATGAAACTGAAAAATGTGTATTCATATTATTAATATAGAAAATTGATAATTTTTTTAAAAAAATAACATAGCACTATACCGGTTGTCAATGAAATAATTCTTAAAATTGGCATTTGAGCATCACCAACATGAAACATCTTGCTAAAAGAAAGGATGCCAACTATTCATTAGATTATCAGCAACAAGAGTCTTGTTGCTGAAAGTACATGGGCTAACTATTCATTAGATTATTAGCAACAAGAATCATGTTACTGAAAATTCAAAAAACTATCAGCAACAAGTGACTTGTGTTGCTGAAAATGAGGCTGAATTCTAATGCCGGATTTACATTTCTTTTCACCGGTTTACCACTAATTTTTAGCAACGTGAGCCACGTTGCTGAAACTCCATCTTTAGCAACGTGGCCTATGTTGCTGAAGGGGGTGAGAAATTTCTCCTCCACCGGTCACCGGATTCCAGTGAAAATTTTCAGCAACATAAGTTATGTTGCTAATACTTTTTTTTCAGCAACATAGCTTATGTTGCTGATATATTAGCAACATGATTTTGGTTGGTAATGTATTACCCACCAAGCCTTCTCCAACAAAGCTTTTAGCAAGCAAGCCCATGTTGCTGAAGGACTTTCAGCAACATGGGAACCACTTTCAGCAACATGGGAACCACTTTCAGCAACATGGGAACCACTTTCAGCAACATGGGAACCACTTTCAGCAACATGCTTCCATGTTGCTAAAACTAAGGATTTTAGTAGTGTAGAGTCTAGACAACAGACAAGAACAGAACACAAACTAAAGGATAACAAAATATCACAAACTAAATCATGGGCTTAACTGACAATCACTTATAAGAGATCGTTTTATTTGAGATAAGTGAATTAAGGATATATAAAATCCAACTAACGATCCCTTTTAGCTTTCTTCACTTCGATCCTGTACGTACACTGAGCTCTAAGGTCGAAGTGGTTATCTTCTTTGTAAAGGCTGATCTCATCATTTTTTTTAGGAAAATGATTTGTGCACACCCGGGTCAACACCCGGGTGTGCACACTCCCCATTGAAAAAAAAAAAGGGCCCATCACCACCCGATCCAAATTTTTTTTTTTTTATGTGGGGGTGCACACCCGGGTGTTGGATCCGGGTGTGCACCAATCAAGATCCTTTTTTTTAATGCCTTTCTCGTTTATGAACTTCTTCCAACCATTAGTGAAACATATCTTGCCGCTCTGTTTTTTTATGGTAAGCCAGTGAGTACCCCCCTGATCATCTTTAACCACCAACTCCGGGATCTTGCCGCTTGATAAATTGCTGTGATATTCAGGTGAAAGATTTGTCAAGATAGCATCAACTGGAAACTTCAGTTCATTTCCAAGGTCATTGCTCTCAATCTTTCTATGCTCAAAGATGGCCGCCATTGTGTTGGATTGGATAGATTGCTTTGATATAAGAGAAAAAGAGAGAGAGAATTTGAGAACTAGAATGGCAAGTATATATCAGCTCTTAAATGGATCCCATATTTATAGCCAAAGATATCAATTAACCATGTCGCTTGATTAAATCAACAAATAGATTACGTACTTATTGTTGTAATAAGATTTTGTTTTTTTGCATGATGTGAATTGGGATTCATTAGGTAACGGATTGATCGATCGAGAACTTACTACTTTCGAAGGATGATTGCGATGAGTCCTAGCGATGCAGAAATGGTAAAAGTTGCGAAATTATACGATTGATGGAGTTACACTTTCGATATTTTAATAGCTATGGTGATGTTGGACAGCTAGATAAATCAATTTCTATACTCTTAACTGGCAGTGGCGCCGTTCTCGCGCTGCCAATGTTCGATTTCATGCTGAGCTCGAGTAGTCAATAATTAGTAAGCGCACTAGGTAGTTAGGATTCGGTTTAGATTGAGAGAGAAGCCGACAGTTTTCTTGC